AAGAAGAAGAAGAAGAAGAAGAAGAAGAAGAAGAAGAAGAAGAAGAAGAAGAAAAAGAAGAAGTTGAACCCAATAATTTTCCGCCTGTTCGGCATTTTTGAGGGGTCTGATTTATGTATGACTCATCAACATACATGTTATATTGAAACCATTGTGGGTGGTTGGCGGGTGCTCTGGTGTGGTTTGCTCCTTCTTTCCAATCAAACATCTATCGTCCTTATCTCCCCTTTTTCTTTTTTATGTTTGTTACTCTCTTGTAATCAGGGCCGCGTTACCCGTAAGGCTGTTTAGGCTGTAGCCTAGGGCCCCGCGCCTCAGGGGGCCCCGCTCTTGCATACACGACGTTTAAAAATGTTTTTCAACAAACAAAAAATTTTTTAACAAATTTGAACTGGAACTTCGAAAGTGCCGTGGTCAAAGCTACGATAATGCTAGAAACATGGCTGGACGCCTCAGTGTCTACATGGCTGGACGCCTCAGTGTCTACATGGCTGGACGCCTCAGTGATGTACACGCCCGTGTCAAAGAGATGAATCCCAGGGCTTCCTTTGTCCCCTGCTCGGCTCATTCTCTAAACCTGGTTGGTGCTTGTGCAGCTGAATGTTGCCTAGACGCAGCATCATTTTTCGGATTCGTCCAAGCATTGTACAACTTCCTTTCAAGCTCCACACATCGTTGGGGCTTGTTTGTAAAACGTATCGGTGGCCCTACACCCAAATCATTGTCAGGAGCTAGATGGTCTGCCCGACATGATGCAACAGTAGCATTAAAATCCAACTACAAAAAGATTATATCATTACTGCTTGACGTCTCTCGTGACCTGAAAGAATCTCCCCGAACGCGTGATGAGGAGTCATCCTTGCACAACAAGATGGAAAAGTTTGAATTGTTGTGTGTGTTTGTGCTGTGTGTGTTTTGGGAACAAGTTCCGGCATGCTTTTACACTGCCAACAAAACACTTCAGAAACCATCACTCAGCCTGGGAGTCGTACACACGTTGTACGATTCTCTAACTGCTTTCTTAACAGGACTTCGGGACGATTTCGAGCGAATCGAACAATCAGCCTCACCTTTCGTCGAAGAGCCTTCCTACCAATACAAACGCACTGCAAAACGCAAGCGCAAAGATGTTGAAGCTGTTTTGTCGCACCGGGAGCAGCATAGAATAAACACCTTCCTTGTCATCGTTGACTGCCTTTTGTCTGAACTTGAAAAGCGAGGAGACATCTACAAGACTCTGGCTCAAGATTTTGACATTCTCTTTTATCTTCACAAGAAGCCTGCCACAAGCATTCGAGACACAGCATCTCACATTTAGCAGCAATATGAGGACGACCTAGAGCCATCATATCCTGACGAACTAGTGACGTATTCAGGATATCTCAACTCAGCATTTCAGTCTGAGGATAAACTTTCTCCTCCCTGGCTCCTTCAAGATCTGCGCGAAAGTGGTGCAACAACAGCTTTCCCAAATGTAGAGATCGCACTGAGGCTCTTTCTGACCATGCCTATCGCCAACGTAGAGGGTGAAAGATCCTTTTCCGTATTGAAACGAGTGAAAAGTAAACTGCGCTCAACGAAGGGACAAGAGAAACTAAGCGGCCTAGCTCTCTTGACGATTGAATCTGAAACGACAAAATCTCTAGACTTTGAGGACATCAAACAAAAAGACAGGAGAAAAATATAAGGAATGAGTTTTTAAAATCAATTGTGGATTGTGTTTAGATGAAGTAATCCACGACCAAGCAAACAAGCACGGATAGGTTTCGGCTCCCTCATACTTTGTAATAGAAATAGATCTATAAATGTGCTTGTCGTCGTCTTAATCCACATTATTGGTGGATACCCGTAGACCTACATCTAATCACGTTTTACAGTATAGTTTTCCATCAGTACGGGGTTACAATGGGGTAGTAGTAGCATCAACGTCATCGAGGGGCCCCGCGGCTCATGGACAGCCTAGGGCCCCGCACTTAGTTAACGCGGCCCTGCTTCTAATGCCTCTAATCATCTAGCGCTCATACAACCTTATGCAGTTGCGAGAGCCGTAAAACATCTACTAAAACTAAAAATCCAAAACCAGTCATGTGTGGATTTCATTGGAAAACTTTCTTCAAAAGCTCACAAAATTTTAGTTTGCTGTTTCCAAGGACAAGATTATGTTTTTGGAGTCACCAAAGCTTGCGCCACCCCCACCTCTTTCACTTCTATTCAAGATAGACAATAAATGAACAATTTGAGAGACAAATGAATGTTATAAAAATACATTAGTATTAGCAACTTCAAATGCCCCTTGAAATTGATGAGCCCCTGATATCACCCTGTCGAGATATCATAATATCATAATTTAATCTTTTTTACCTAGGACAAACGATAAAGCAAAAGGAGGTCATTCTCTGCACCACACACATGATGGTGAGGTAGGAGAGAAAATGTGAGAGAGCGTGGTGGAATCAGGCTCTCGTCAAAATAATCAAAGTGAAGAAACTTTGTGAATTTTTATCAAATTTTTTTTTTTTTTGCTCAACGTCTATCATGCCCATCAAAGAACTAATTTCTGTGTGGATTGTTCTGAAAAACTTTGATTAAAGGCACAACAAATTGAAATTTTCTGTTACCACGGACTCTTAAGCTAAGGAAATAACTAATCTTTGGTGGCCATTTTCTCATAACTTTACCTATGAAAACAGGTGACCCCCACCTCCTTCATTCGCAAACATCTCGACTTGTATTCAAGATAAATGGACATTTTTTTTCATCCAAATAAAGACAAGTGAACAAGCTTTAAGATGATACCAATAACTCTACATGCCCAAAAATTGACGAGAGCCTGATTCCACCGCGCTGCCTCACAAATGGTAAAATGTTGAAATGGTATAGGTTTAACTCCCCTATCAACACAATTAGGTTATTTAAGAGGCGGGACCTCCTAGTTTAACGTCCGTCTCCGATAGGACCGAGACAAGTGGGAAGTTCGTGTAAAATGTCTTTCCCAAGGACACAACGTCGGACCGAGCTGAGGCTCGAATCCCCGAACTCGCAATCTCACGATTACGAGTCCGGTAGCCTAACCACTAGGCCACCGACGCCTCAGGCAGGAGAGCGATAGAAATAGGAGTTATAGTATCTTTAAGATACTACAGTTCAGTATTATGCTAACCTTGAATCACAAAATTCTCTCTGCTCAGAACCTAGATTTGGATGATTGTCGGGTGCTCTGGTGTGGTTTTCTTCTTCTACTTTCCTATCAAACATATGTATCGTCTTTATCTCTCCTCCTTTTTTTTGTTTGTTTTTTGTTACTCTCTTGCAACATCTCTAATCATCGGCACTTATATGACCTTATTGATTTGCAAGTGCCGTAAAAATCTTACCCAAAAAAAAAAAGAAAAAAAGTTGAGTATCCGCCTGGGTCCAATGTCTGATGACGTCAGACTGGTCTGTGTGTTTGTCATAGGCGGGCTGGCGAGGGTTAATGAAGGAGGTGCTACGGTAAGGTCCTTGGGGTTAATGTGTCACTCTTGTGAGGTTATACAATGAGGTACTTATGGGGTTAATGTGTCACTCTTGTGAGGTTATACAATGAGGTCCTTATGGGGTTAATGTGTCACTCTTGTGAGGTTATACAGAAAAGTCCTTATGGGGTTAATGTGTCACTCTTGTGAGGTTATACAATGAGGTCCTTATGGGGTTAATGTGTCACTCTTGTGAGGGTATACAGAAAGGTACTTATGGGGTTAATGTGTCACCATTGTGGGGTTATACAGTCAGGTACTTATGGGGTTAATGTGTCACTCTTGTGAGGTTATACAGTAGGGTCCTTATGGGGTTAATGTGTCACTCTTGTGAGGTTATACAATGAGGTACTTATGGGGTTAATGTGTCACTCTTGTGAGGTTATACAGAAAGGTCCTTATGGGGTTAATGTGTCACTCTTGTGAGGGTATACAGAAAGGTACTTATGGGGTTAAATGTCACCATTGCGAGGTTATACAATGAGGTCCTTATGGGGTTAATGTGTCACTCTTGTG